CCAAATGAAAAAGATGAATAATACATTCTGCCTCATCAACAGTTTATAGGTTCTCTAATGTATATTGCAATTGGTACAAGGCCGGATATTTCACATGCAGTTAGCATATTGGGCTAATTTAATACACATTATGAAGAGATTCATTGGAAAGCTGCCAAACGAGTATTAAGATACCTTAAGGCAACAAAGAATATGAAACTAGTGTTCCAAAAGACACATCAAGACGAAAACCTATTCGGATATGCTGATGCTGACTATGGTAGCAATTTAGTGGACCGAAATTCATATATTGGTTATGTTTTTACAATGAATGGACCATCAGTCTCTTGGGAATCTAATAAGCAAAAGACAGTTGCCCTATCAACAATGGAAGCAGAATACATGGCATTATCTGAAGCCTCAAAGGAAACTATTTATCTCAGGCGTCTCATACAAGAAATATTTGATGTTGATAAACCAATCTGTTTATTTTCAAAAACTCACAAAAAATGATACTTTCCACACACGCACTAAACATATAGATATTAGGCACCATTTTATTCTAGATTCAGTTGCCCAAAATCAAGTTATTATGAATTATATCCCGACAAGTGAAATGGTCGCCGATATTCTAACAAAATTTTTGCCAAAAATTAAACACAATTTGTGTGTAAAATCATTAGGACTAGATACCTAACATGTTTTCTTTCTTTGCACTACTAATTAAGTTCTAAAATATAAAGAGTGTTTTGATTAAGGAAAGGTGTTGAACTTTAATTTAAAAGCACTCGTTATATTTATAAATATTGTAATATTTGTCAGTCTTTTTTATGCCACAATAATGTTCTTTGGTAATTTCTCACAGATATTGTTAAATTTATTTTCTCGTTCAAGTTTTTCTACTTTTTGTTGTAAAATGTCATTATGTCGGGTTTCACTTGAGTCTGTAGCATTTTTTAACTCAGCTTTAGAATTTTTATATCCGTTAAAATTTTATTTGATGATTCTTCCAAAAGTTTTCTAATTGTAATTTCATTCATTATAATAAAATTTAAAATCCCTTATACAGTGTGGTGTGATCGTGATTACCTGTATAGATGAACCACGTATGCAGCAACATAGGTTTTAAATTTTTCGGCTCTTCTCTGCTTCGGCTAATGGACTGTCGTAATTTCCTTATGAAATAAAACTCGTAAAATCATCGTAGATAACACCTTTTATTTATGACTCTTTATAAATCTTCAGTACACTTATTTACAAAAACTTTTTTACATATTTATTTACATTCGAAATACTATCTTTGCTGAGAAAAACATTTTTTAAAAAATAACATTTTTATCTTTTGTAAGAGCGAACTCAATACACGTCTGTTTGCTTTCGTGACTTGCTGAGAAGTGAGTTAAAAAATAACATTTTTATGTTGTGTAAGAGCGAACTCAATACACGTCTGTTTGCTTTGGTGACTTGTTAAAAAGTGAGCTTCTTTTTCGGTTAGCTACGTATATGTTGAGGAAGATAGAAAAGCGATAGAGGGAGACAGATGGAACAAATGCATAGTGTCGGCTAGTCAGGTGTGATCCTGTTTTGCACGTTTACGTGGGTAATGTCACGTAGACCATGCAAGCAGGTGTTTACAACGATTTTTTATATATATTCAGCAGACCACCCAAAGTGTGGCGCGCAGGACCGGCTTCAAATGTTTTGATTTCGAAACACAGTGTATTCCAAAAAGTTATACAACTTGAAAAAAGTTCTGTTTTTTCAATTATTCTTGAAAAAAGTTTTAGGTTATTGTGACAAGTTGTTAGAGAAATTCACTAATTTGTAGTTGGAAGTTCTCTATCCCAAATAGAAGTTTGTGTATCATCAGGTATATTTCAATCTGAAATACCCTGTATTTTGTTTTTTGGAAGGACATGAAAATAATACTGAAGTCCGACGCATTTTACGCGTTATGCTTGGATGTTATGCTTATTATATTTCGTTAAACGCCTATAATATTCCGCGCAACAACCCAAAAGGAAAATCAATGCAGGAAACTGCAACCGACTACGCAAAGGGGGACACCTGATCCTTCATACGCCGTGTAATCACTTTCCTAACAGCAATAATCCGGTTATTCCGGTGGAAGGAGCAAACAGCCGAACACCTTTGAGCGTAGGGTTACCCATTACATTCTATACTGGATGGACTGAATATAATCTCATCTATTTTCGTTTTCGGATCCCCGCTGGTCGCTTGAACTTCCTCCTCTTCCCCCACACACCTATTCCGTTTCTATGGACGCCAAGGTGATGCTTAAACGGCTAACTGGAGACAGGGGACGTTTTCTAAGAGGATTTGCCATTCATACGATATTTTGGATGGAAGAGGCGAACATAAGTGTATCTTGGAATCGAAATACGAGATTTCAAAGGTCTCAAGTGATGCATAGGGTTTCAAAATCAGGACAATTAAGTCTGTCATTTCAAAAACTACACGTTTAAATTTAGGAAAAAAAAATAAACTTAAAGGATAATTTATGTATTATATTCCTTTAACATCTCGTTCTCTAATTATTCCCATCCGGTGTTAACAAGAAACTCATCTATTCGGCTCGTCGACCACGTAGGATATACTTCGACATCTTTAATCACGAGGGTCGCCATTAGAAATTAGATAGGCAGGCGCCCAAAGTGGAAAACTCGCCAATTACTCAAGAGGGTCGGGGTTTAGGTAGCCGAGGATTTAATTAGAGAACGCGAAAGGTATCTCGATAATTTCGATGGGCATAGCGGCGGTTTTGATACACCTTCCGCACTTAATACGACTTCTTGCATACTATCCTTTCCGAATGTATCTGCCTACGAGGCGGCAGCAGGGCCGTCGTCGACCATGCTGTGGCCTTAGGGCAAACACAAGTATAGGGCCCTTTTAGAAAACCGCAATAAAAACGATAATGTAGTAAATATTGTGTAATAAAACCCGTTTATGTCAGATAAGCTGTCCGACTCTATATGGTTTTCTCCATACTTTTTTTTTTACTTAAGTTATTAATTTCAATTTTTAATGACCGGTCATCATATTAATAATCAAATAATTAACTACGGATGTGAAAACTCCTATTTCATTCAATCGATACATTTTGTCTTTAGGTGATGGAAAATGTCCACCCAATTTTTTGAGTATAAAAAAATAAAATTTTATTTTGGAAATAAAATTTTCTCCATATTTTAATCGGTTTTTTTATAATAATTATGAAATATATCCGTTATTTACGTTTGGAGAAGAAAATTCTTCAAATAAAAGTTACTTATAATATTATTATCTATAATTTTTATCCCATACATAATTTCTCTAAAATGGACCGTATTCGAGATATTTGAGAAAATGTGTAAATTTCGAATTTTGAAGAAAACTCAAAAACGGACAAAGGAAAAAACATTAAATTTTAAACTTAAGTTTTATTTCGACCTGAGGTGAAATTATTAGATTTTGGACAAAGGCGGAACATTTGGGGGGGTACTTTATGGAAGGCCGTTTTTATATTTTATGGAATATATCTGGTATTTATGTTTAAAGAAGAAAATTGTTCAGATAAAAATTACTTACAATATTATTATCTATAATTTTGGTTCTATACAATTTTTTTTTAAATGGTCCGTATTCGAGAAATTAGACAAAATGTAATAAAATTCAAATTTTTAGGAAAATAATTGTTATTTGTGATATCGATCTCTATAATTTTTGTTTTTTATATGGTTTTTCTAAAATGGACCGTATTGAAGGAAAAGTGCAAAATTTAAATTTTTCAGTATTTTCGTTTTCAATGAATATCTATAGAAAAATGTTTCGAGTTAGATGTATGTGGAAAATGTATATATTTAGTTTATCCTCTAAACATTTATATAGGTGCTGCAATAGGTTGTACAAAATAATCGGAAAAAGCCTATAATAACTAGATAGGAAAGTCATGTGTTGGACACATCAGATTTTTTATGCTCCAGTTATTAATTTTACCTTTACTTGGAATTAAAACAGGCTGGTTTATCGACTCCATTGCCTATTCCTTATATTTTGTCCTTGGGTGTTAGAAGAATGTCCACCATTTCAACATTTTTGAATATATTTAAAGTAAACATCCAATTTTATTTTGGAAATAAAATTTTCTCCATATTTTAATCGGTTTTTTTTATAATAATCTTAGTTTATAATGGCCTGTCGCCATGTTAACAATAAAGTTTAAGTGTGAAAAATCACATTATGATGGAATTAAAATTTTCCCCATACTTTTTTTTATATCATGTTAATAATCAAATAATTAACTACGAGTTCAAAACCTTCTATTTCAATCGATTCCTCATAAAAGCAAGATCTTATTTTGAAAATACAATTTTCTCCATACTTTTACAAACTTTGGTTTTCATATTTTCTCAGTTCCTTCCCTTTATTTTTCTTGGTCCTCCCTTTTTATTTTTATTTACAATATTCTCACGAAAAAGTATTTTTTGTAATATTAAAATCTAGTCAAACTATATATAGTCAATATACCAGGTGTTCAACGATACCTGAAACCCACGTGATCTGATAACCATCAAAAACCCATCGAAAGGGCCTGATTTGACGTAAAAGATTTTATTATTTGTGGTTTAATTCTTTTTTGTTTGTAAGTACAAATTTGTTTACTATAACTCGTAAAAGTTAATGACTATATAATTTATTTCAGGTAATATTACACAGGAACAATATTATTTTATATTCGTAATTATATTCGAAAATTTGAAGAACGTTTTCCAGGTGAATGAATAGAATATTATTTTTTTTGTCGTCATAAATAAATACTTCTTTAAAATTATAAAAGAGGAAAAAGCTCTAAAAGGCCCACAGTAATAACAGAAGCTGTTGAAGATATGCAAATTAACAAATACTTATTTTTATTTACTTTTTTACCCCTCCCATGAAAAATGTCTAGCTACGCTACTGAATACAAGATTATATCATTTAATTCATATTATATCTTTAGTATTACAAAAAAAACTTACTGTCCAGCCATTTGGAGTCGTACTTCAAGGTCCTTTTGAAGCTGTACTCCTTTCTGCCGGTCGTTAGGTTGTGCAGGTCCGTTCTGAAGATGACAGTATCGGCTTTGGTAAATTCGGCGTTGGTGCCAGAATACAGTCCTGCTAAATCACCGGGATTTCCTTTTTCCACCCAAACTGCCGTCGAATTGTCTGCAGGATCGTACGGGCACTTTGCTATACCCATACCTATGCCGGGTACGAAGGTATTGCGTGGAAGATGGGTTAGATTTGACTGCAAAAGAAAAAGATATTGAAATAACATTAAACATGATTTTGACAGACACTAATTATAAAAATTTGGCCCGATAATAAAACATTTTTTAATAAATTTTGAACCATGAAAATGTATAATAAATAAACTAAATACGGCTCTGTACAAAATCACAGACACGCGTTACATTTCAATATTATAAAAATATAAGACACATGTTTTATGCTGTTGCTATGAGAAAAAGATATTTAATCATAGATCAAAATAAAACCATTTCTAAAAATAGATTCCAAGAGAAACGTATTTGGTGTATTCAACTTTTTATAAAATAACGTCCCAAGTTTTCCAGCTAAATCTAAATATATACAAACTATATTGGAATCCATCTTACTGTTTTATCGGACCTTTTATAACACAAGCTAGACGAGGTGGTAAATTACATCATTGGCTAGAAAATTAATCAATTTAAAAAATGTAATTCCATCGGCTGATTTCGTAGAATTCAGGGCTGACTGGAGTTAAAAGAATGTGGCTTTGAAAATAATATTTTGTGAATTTTTTTATAACAATAAAACCATTTGTATTACTACTCAATAAATTAATATATAAACAAAACTAACAAGCAGTCAATACAAGGTGTAGCACACCACAAAATAACAGTTAAATATTTATAAAAACTAATACGTGATCGCAAATAAAACACAAAAAAGTCGACTTAATCCCATTCAGTTTCTGACTCATTCAAAACGAAATATGCTCATAGGAAAGTTCTTCTTACATCCAGCAGAAGGCAGACTTTAATTCCCTAATGTAACTCAAGGATTTTGTATTATTATTATATCCTATTCGGGCTCGGCACGGGACAACCGGGCGATAAGGAGGGGAAGAAATCTTCCAAGTTCCGAATGAAAGATAAATTCGCTAAATATGACTACGGCTGCATTGAAAATTTCCAAATGGAAATTGGGGGTGAGACTCGCGACATACAGGATCGAATTCGGAAATTTTTGGGCTTCTTTCGGAAAGAGAAATTTGTTTTGTTTATTTTCCATTCAAATTAATTTTTAGTTGATTTGGTTTTAAATAGAAAAAACACACTACAGTGTTGTCGTACCAATTTAGGGTTTTTCACTAAAATGATGACATTCAGAAGTAATTGATTTGTTACAATTGTAACAACATCGGCAACACTGATGCCTATACTTTAATAAATCGTTTCTATAGTATTTTTGAAATATTTATGAAATATACGTTTTTTGGAATGATTGTATTTTAATTTACTGTATAATTAAAGTTCTTTCAAAGGTTATTTCATTTTTAAAGTAATTCCAGAGATTTTTGAGCTTCGATGTTGTGTATAACTCTTTTTAAGAAAGAGTAGGGTTTGTAGTGACTTCTCTTCTGTTTGAAATGCTCCTAAAGTATCCCTTGGATTCTGGAGTGCTACATATTCAGTCAGAATGTAAAAGATCCCTGTTACAGGCAAATACAGGCTTCCGATCTTTTCTGGTTATATTCATCCAGAAATATCTTAGTTTGTCTTTAAGAGATTGTTCAAATTATCGGTTCTTCTACTGCCCAATTTGCTTTAGTATAATACTCCAGTGGAATTTCTTAAGTTGCTATACCTGAAAGAAGTACAGGCAATTTCAGCTATTCTTCTAACAAACCAATCTAAACTTTAGCAAGTTTATCTATAAAAGAATTAATAAACGTGTGTAGGGAAACTTTGGTACCTTTTATTACCTCCACATTTTTTTCTTACAGTCTTAGCAATGTCTGAGCCCATAACATGTTGAAGTCGCTGACGATCTAATGAAATCCACTTAAAATAAACCTAGAATAGCTTTGAAAATAAAACTTTAAAAGGAATCTGAAATAAAAGAAGATCAGCTCATCAGGAAGAGAGAGAAGTTACTGAAGACATAGTAATCAAATATGAAATGAGCTTAGAAAATTAAGGTATAAATTTAAGAATTCGAAAACCATCAAGTAATGGAGAAATTATTGCAAATAGTCAAAATAAAAAATGTAAAGGATCAATGGATAATGAATTAAGATTAGGACAAATTTTGACGGTTTAGCGGATAAGTATAAGACCAGATTAGTAATTATAGGCTATTCACTAAGGAAAGACGAGTGCTTTGATCAAACTTTTTTAGCCCAATAACAAAATCTGACTTGATCAGAGCTCTATTAAATACAACAGTTGGTATGAATATGTCATTGGCGTATTTCGATGTATTTACAGCTTATTTATAGGAAAATATACAAGATGAGGTCTACATGAAACAATCAAAAGGTTATGATGATAAAAAACATCGATTATGTCTTCTCAAACGCAGTTTCTATGGTCTCAATCTATATGCTAGAATGCTAGATTTGTAGGATTTCTAATAAAATAAATTTTAAAATGAGTATTATAGTACCCTGTCTATTTCAAAAAAATCTCTCCTTTTTCTTATACCTAGAAATTTGAAAAATAAACTCAAATTTACTGAAAAATCAGCAAATTATTTGTTAGGGTTAGAGATATATAGGAAAGATGATGGTTCCATTTAAATATGCCAATAACCTTACACGAAGATCTTACAACGTTTCGGTGTAAGTAAATGTAAGCCAGTATCTACTCCAATGATCAAAAATTGTGACGAACTAGAGAAGGAATCAGATTTTAAAAATGTTCTATGTAGACAAACACTCTTATGTACCTAATGGTTAGTACACGTCAAGATATAACCTTATTATGTTGGCTTCGTTGTAAGAAATCTTGATAATCCAACAGGTGGTGACTGATTCAGAGTCAAAAGAATATTGGGATACCTATAGGGAACCTTGAGCATTGGTCTTTATATTGATGTGGTTTTAGCGACGTTGATTATGCTAGAAATAGTATTATAGGACGTTCTGCTATAAGCATTGTTTGTAAATGTGCTGCAGGTACAATAACAAAATCAGAAATAGTAGCAGCAGCGAGAGTGCTAAAAAACTTATTTGCGTAAAAAGACTGTATAGAAAGTCAACTGTGTTAAAAATACTTCAATTAATGGTGAATAGTCAGGCAGCTATTAAACTAGCACATAATCCGGAATGATATCGAAGAACTAGGCATATGAAATCAAAGCTTTTTTGTTGCCAAACTAGTAAACAAAGGTTCTACCTGAGTGATAAAAATTGCTTCTAAATATCAATAAGCTGACTTCGTGACTAAATCCTTGTTTAAACTTAGACTGCAAGCTTGATACAGAAACGGCAATAGCAACTTTCGTATATATTAAGGGAATTTTTAATATTTCAAATACCAGATTTATAATTGATGCACTAGCAATGGAAGGGATATCAGTAGTCTTGTGTTAGTGGATAAAAGCCAGCTTAGAAGAAAGGGTAATAACAACATCTCTAAGGAAAGCTTCACTGATGGCTAAAGCAGGGAGGTATACTACCATCCCTCTGTTGGTTAGTCCTAGTGAACAAACTTATAACAAGGCTAATATCTGCAGACTCCTAGAGTTTGCCGATAACCTGGCGATCATTGTAAAAGGCAAGTTCGCAGGTACAATATCGGAACACACACAAACATTGTTGACGAGTGGTGCAAAGAAGAGGAACTAGTGCAAAGAAGAGGAAGTAGAGTCACTAGTACTAAAAGGAATGAATATTTCATTTGTTTCAGAGGCCAAATACTTAGAAGTGACCTTTGACCACAGGTTAACATAGAATCAACGCTTGCAAAAAGAGCACAATATGCTCTAATTTATGTCGAAGGTTGTGTAGAAAAAATTGGAAACTACAACCGAAAATGTCTCTATGGCTGCATACCAGAGTCATAAGGCATACCTACGGAGGTATGGTAGGTAAAGATTCCAACATCAGCCCTAGAAGTTATAATAAACACGACATATATTCATTAACGGTGAAGCCAGATCTGTCACAAACAGACTGCACAAAGGTCTATCACTCATGAGCAGTAGGCATGGACGTGACTACAAGGAGCTATATAAAGAGTTGGAGAACAACCAAATAATAGGAATGCCTTTAGACGAAATGCTCCCAAAGCATAGCCTTCAAATGCAATATAAAGTAAGTATACCAGACAGGGAAGCGTGGACGGGAGGGCCTCCTGTTCACGAAGAATTCACCTGGTATACATACGGCTCCAAAACCCATGAAGGTTTAGGAGTAGGTATATATAGTACCAAGTCAAAGACAATTGGTAAACATGGGACAGTATTCCAAGCAGAAATAGCAGCAATACATCGCTGTGCAAAAGAGGTATTAAGACAAAAGGTAATTGGAAGAAACCATTGTCAAGCGTCATTAATAGCACTCAGTTCTAGTCAGATACACTAAGAAGCTTGCGTGCGACTGTTTGGAAGCCTTAACAGAGCTGGGTAGTTAAAACAGCCTGGGTACCAGGCTATAGTGGCCACAAGAGCAATGAAGAGGCTGATTTACTAGCCCGAGAAGAAGCCTTAAAGGCTCTTATTATGCCAGAACCCTTCTGTGGTATCACAAATACAGCTATCAGAACATGCACAAAGCAGTGGATGTTTAAAAAATCTCAGGAATGGTGGAAAAATTCACCAGGACAGAGACAGGCCAAAGAGTTTCTAAAAGAACCATCGCCCAAACTCACCTAGCATCTACTAAGCCATAATAGGAAAAATACTAGAGTACTAATAGGATATTAACAGGGTATTGTAGGCCTAATATGTATCATAATATCGGCCTGACAGAAGTCGATTCTAGCAGAAAGAGGAGGAAACTGCAGTTATACATACTGTGTTATTGCGAAGGTCTATCAGGATTGAGAATCCTTACACTCGTGGAGAACTATTTCCTAGTCTATAGAGTTTACTACAAAAGACCAAACTATTCAAAGTAATCTAAACAACGATTAAAGGATATCCACAATATATCTGAAAAGGTCGAGGTGGGGGGGGGGATACATGGCCCACAGTCCTAATTAAATCTAATCTAATGTAGACTGAAAGCATTAAGGAACGAGTTAGTACTTAAAC